TCACTTGCAAATTTTTTGTAATAAAAACTTTCCTATAGGACCTAATATGTGGGGGAGTCTCAGAGGAGTGGTACTTCTGCCTGGTTTGATCTCTCTTTTGTCTGTAGAAACTGTCCTCAGTGGATGCTGAGTGCATGCACATTGAAACATCCCTCATTTCTGAGGCTTCAGTTTCATACTGACAGCCTGGCAAGAACCACTGATGAGTAAATCAGCTGCACAAAAGTGTTATCATGCACCAAGGTATCTGGCCAGAGCAAACAGACGAGTGATGGGCAGTGTAACGTCCTCCATAAAGCTCTCAAGCATGGCAGCTACATTTTGTAAGCCTGATGCCACTGCTCTATATTACTATAGGGGTTTTTTGAACCAACCATTTTTCCCTCTCCTTTGAATGCCCTTCCACTGACAAATACTTGATTCAACAACCAGCACTGGAAATCAATACTGCAGGAACTCTACTATCTGATAATAAGAATCTTAAAAACCTTTCCATAGCTCACATGGACACCTTCTCTTTACAAGAAATACTGATGAAGCTCATGACTTGACTGAATGTTCCAGTTACTTTTCTTGATGCGTTCCTGCAGTGCTTGGTACAGCCTTCTTCTTCTTCACTTCTGGGCAGGAGGTTGTTCAATGCTCAGTGCCATGCCCTATCAATAATGCGTGGATCAAAGGTGAAAGGAAGGAAAACTCATCTTTTTGTTGGTTCAGCAGAACCACTCTTAATTCCCAGCATAACTGCCTCCAATACTACGTATGTATTTGTACATAACTGTCATGGAAGAAACGTAATAGACACTGTTCAAACTCATTTTCATCCTCTTCCCTGCAGGTTTTTTTTTTCATATGACTATCCACTAGAACCACTTTTTTCATTCACAGATGGCCATTTTACCATTTATTCTCAGTCAATATATTCAGCACAGGAACAGCTACCTGGTTCATATCCACAACTAAGTCCCCATCAAGCCATTCATTCTCCCTGGGCCTTTATCAAGTTATCACAGCCTGTAGCTGCATCACCTTAAAGGCAAAATAAGTCATTCACTGCAAAGCAGTTTCCTACAAATGATTTATTGCACTACTGCTGTTTTTAAACAGAATGGCCAAGACTGCATTTATTTGGCCATGATTACAGGAACCATGTCGAGGTACCCATGTTTTTGAAAAGCTGAAAACATCTGATGGAAAGTGTCCACCTCTGGCACCAAGGAATCAAGAAATCATGAACAACAGATAAAATTCATTCTACAACTGCTCTACATTTTAACTGAAGAGACTGCTTGTGCTCACACAGATGCTGTGGTGAGATTTGTTTAGGTCTTGACCTGAGCATATTTGCAGTTTGGAGATAGATTGAAATACAGACCAATTGACTTATTTTATTTTTGCTGAAATTGCAGTGGTTTAGGAGGAGGCCTTAGTCTCCTAGCAAATTTGAAATTTTGACAGTTATGTTGTCTGCAACTTTTTATCCTTTTTCATTTAACTTATCTACCAAGTAGCTTAAAACCAAACTTTAAATATTCTTCTTCACCTAGTGAACAAAACTGAGCTATTAGCTCTTCCCTGGTGGTCCCCAAGTTTGCTGCTGGGTTTCATTAGATGTTTGTGTTTTCACTTTGGCCCGCCATAGTTGTAGTAGAATTTTTTGCTTCAGTATTGTATTTTCCATGCTAGCTTTTAGCCAGTCTGCTCTCTTTACTTTTGTATTTTTATATATTCAATAATGCATATATCCATAATTACATATGCAGTATAATTACATCTTTCTTGATTATATATGCCACCTTCTTTTCTTAATCATCACAGACATCAGACTGTAATTCCCCATTTCATTCAGGCCTGTGGGGCACCGAGCAGTACTTAAGAGGCACAAAACTCTCCGCTTCCATCAGTCTCTGCAGCAGCTGCCTCAACATCTGATGTGCAACTGCAAGCGAAGTCCCACGTTGCTTGGCACATTCCCGCTCACTGCATCCTTTGCCTAATCAAGAGCTGCAAGTACAAGCCTATAATATGCTCTGTCACCAGTTTATCCAGAAAAATCTCCCATGGGCATGGGTTTGATAAGAACACAAGGTTTCAGTGGGTTTTTTGTTTCTATTTCTTAGCCACAACGTACCCAGCTCAGATGACTAGAGCTTCAAACGGTGTGAGATTTCTGGACAAATGTAATTTCCCCTCACCTTCATTCCCCTACATTTTCTCTATTTGTCAAGAGAGAAGTTGAGGCACAGAAAAGGGCTGTAATTTGTCCAAAGGGTGACAGAGGTAGAAACAAAATCGGCACCTCCTGATTCTTAGTCCAGTCCCCCAGTCCCCAGGGCACACTGGTAAGTAGATGTTAGTATTCCCATAACCCCTTACATTGAAGTCTTTAATGTAATTTTTATCACTGAATAAAGTGATAAATAAATTATTAAATAGTTAAATAACAGTTACATTTTTACTACATCATTAGGTTAATAACCTATTGCTTACTTTGATAATTTGTAAATATGGGTAGTGAACCTAGATACAGAAAATGTCTGAAAAGGGAATACAGCAAGCACTTCTAAAACAATGTATTTCTTTAGCACTTTCAAACCCCCATAACCTAATTATGCTTCAGTAATAGATCTAGGGAGTAGGGACAGGATAAAAGAAACTAATGGAAATAAATAACAATAGAATCCACCTCTGTAGAGAGTGGGAAGTTCGAGGCTGGTCAGTGGTATCATTTGAACTCAGCATGGGCTTCATTTCTCTCCTTTTTCCGCTGTCCTCCTTACATGATGCCTTTGTGCCAGTTTGAGTGGTTTTAAAAAAAAAAAAAAACAAAAATCAGAGATTTCCTGCTGTATGCTGTTATTGAGAGACTTATTATTTCCTCATTAATTTTAGCAGTACAGTAAATGCCTTCTTTTTTAGCATTTTATGAACCAAGTAAACATTAAACAAATTCAGGGAGAAAGCACTTGCATGTCTTAGAGCAACCCAATGATTCCTCAGATCTTCATACAGCCAAAATTCATCTCACTCCATTATTTAGCGGTTTGCATATGTTTGCAAGCCACAGTCTGCAACATGAGTTTCCAAGCACTGTAGCCTTTTGATGCCTATAAATTCCTTAGTGTTGTAAGGGCCAGTAGCTCAGATTCTAAGGTGTTTCAAGACTTTGTCTCTTCAGTTACTCTCCTGGTAGTCCCCTAGATCTTTTTTGAAGTCTTTCTTTATTATTATTAAAAAAAAAAAAAAAAAAAAAAAAAAAAA